TCCAGCTGGTGTTATGATACTCTAGCCTTCTGGATCATTAGGTGAGATGTCAGCAGGGACCAGGAATGTGGACATGCAGAGGCTATTATACCCTGGTAATGTGTGTATTCTGGTGGTAGCTTCACTCATAATATGGAATTGTGCTCCTGTAGGCTGAATCTGAGGAAGTGGGGGTGACCCAGTGTGAATTATTTCTCTGGAAATATGCAGTTGCTTGAACTTCAAGTAGCTCCCTACACTGGGGTCAAGGCCTGTGAGGGTTGTGAGACTCTTTTGCAGCTGATATTACAAGCATCCATGTGGGAACACAGACTGCTAGGGATCTCCCACTTTTCATTTTCCCACAATGGGGAGTCTCTCTGGACTTCAAGCTAATCAAGAACAAGCTCTTCATTTCCATTTCTATGCTGCTATCCTTAGGTTCTGTGCCTCTGAGAGTCTTCATCACTTTTTAATCCCTGAATCCCAGTGCTCTCCTTTAAATACTGTTTGAAGTGCCGTTATCTATTGCTTGCTTTGATCTTTCTTTGTGGAAGAGGTGAGTGCTAGGCACCTCCAGTCAATCATCTTGATAACCTATTTCTTAATCAGTTTTTTTTTTTTGAGTTGGAGTCTCACTCTGTTGCCCAGACTGGAGTGCAGTGGCCGCTCCCGGCCACCGCAGCCTCGACCTGCTGGGCTCCGGCGATCCTTCCGCCTCAGCCTTCCAAGTAGCCAGAACTACAGGCGCGCACTACCATGCCCAACTGATTTTTTGATTTATTGTAGAGATGAGGTCTCGCTGCCCAGGTGGGTCTCGAACCCGCGGGCTCAGGCAATCCACTCACCTCAGCCTCCCAAAGGCGCGGGATTACAGGCTGAGCCACCGAGCCGGCTTAATCAGTTTTAAACACCATCCAATGATTAATTCTACCTGCCAGTAATTGTAGTTTCAGCAGTAGTAATAGCAATAATAATAATAAAATAGCTTTCACGTACGGATCACTTACTAGTTGCAATGTGCTGTAATAAGTGTTCTACCTATTTTAACTCATTTAATTTTTCCAACAATCCCAGGAGATAGGGTCTATCATTATCCACATTTTATGATTAGGAAACAAAGACACAGGGAGGTTGAGTAACTTAGTCAAGTTCACATAGCTAGTAATTGGCAAATCCAGGCTCTTCTAACTGAGGTTGGATGATTCTGGAGAGTATTCTCTTAACCTCTGTGCCAATTCATCTCTGGAAAGGAATTTGATCTTTTTAGAAGGAAACAATATATTTTCTTGGGCTGTCTTTGTTAAACACAATTTTGAAGATGCTGGTCACTTTGAAAACTTGTCATGACTAAACAAAATGGAACAGGGAAGTTTTATAGACTTTGTCCTTTGCAAATTGGTCATATATTCTCAGGAAGTATGTAAAGGATCTTAATGGAAATTTAGACTAGACTAGAGGACAGTCTTCATTTTGACATTATGGTATCACTTTCGTATGTCTTGGTTTAGTTTCAACCACACCCAAATTAACTTCCAATTGTCTGTTAATGTCTTTGTTCATCCAGTATTTATAGTCACAAATCTGAATTCCCCTACTTAGCAGTTCTATGATCTTAGGTGGTTATTTAATCTACTTTTGCCTTAGTTCTTTCATCATAAAATGAACAAACTTGCTTTATTTTATTGTTAGAAGGATTAAATGCTATATTTTATGTAAAATATTTAGTTCAGTTGGCACACTCTAGTTTCTTTTTTTTGAGTTGGAGTCTCACTCTGTCACCCAGACTAGAGTGCAGTGGCTGCTCCCAGCCACCGCAGCCTCGACCTGCTGGGCGCCGGCAATCCAGCCGCCTCAGCCTTCCGAGTAGCTGGAACTACAGGCGCGCGCTACCACGCCTGGCTAATTTTTTATTTATTGTAGAGATGAGGTGAATACCATTATGTGAGTTACTAATAGGTAAAAGTGAAGGTTGTAGAAAACATAGTATAATTCCACTCTTCACAGCTATTTGGTTAATTAAGACATTAGTGATAAATATAAATATCACCACAATATACTGTGATGTGATTGCCTATAAAGAAGTAATGATAGGGCAACCACCTCAGGTCCCCTCCTGCTCTGGGAGCTTTTCTATCCTCTCAATAGATCCTGCTTGAAAAAAAAAGTAAAGTTAAAAGGTGTAAGATAGGTGAAATTCACGGTCTAGTAGAAGATATAGAATCAGGTGAAATTCACAGTCTAGTAGAAGATATAGAATCAGGTGAAATTCACAGTCTAGTAGAAGATATGGAAGGCTTCACAGACATGGCAAGAGTATGGATCTGAAGTGACGTTTGAAGCCAGACAGACACAGATATACCAACTACAGTGGGAGAGAGTATTGTGGGTCAGGAAAACAACATGAAAAACTAGAGTGAGGCCAGGCTCAGTGGCTCAGTCTGTGATCCCTGCACTTTGGGAGGCCAAGGAGTGAATTGCCTGAGCCCATGGATTCGAGACCTACCCGGGCAACTTGGTGAGACCTCATCTCTACAATAAAAGTAAAAAATTAACTGGGCATGGTAGCATGCGCCTGTAGTTCTGGCTACTTGGCAGGCTGAGGCAGAAGGATCACCGGGGCCCACAGGTCAAGGCTGTGGTGGCCAGGAGTGTGCCACTGTACTCCAGTCTGGGCAACAGAGTGAGACTCTGACTCAAAAAATGAAAAAAATGAGAAAAACAAAAAAAACAAACAGACAAAAAACTAGAGTGGTAGGCACAAACTCATATATTTCCAATACAGCAATGAGGTCATCTCATCACAAAAAAGGGGTTACTTTAAGAATGTTGGTAGACAAGATCGGGTAGTCAAGTATGGATCAAACTTCTGGAATGTTGTGCAAAACCATACTGTTTCCCACACTGTCCTTTTGCCTGGAGTGCCCTTCATGAGCAACTCTAGATGAGAAAACTAGGACCATTATTGAAAGACTGGTTCAAATCCTGTCTTGCAAGAAGACTTTTCTCTTTTCTTTATTAAAAAGAATGTCTTCCCTCTCATGAACTCTCAGTCCAGTTTATCTTTATTTCCCTTCTCTTGCATGACCACCCTTACTGGCTTGCTTGGGTTATTCTGAATTATGTCTGTTATTTCAGTGTAATTATTAGAGCACGCTTTCACTCTAAAATATGTTCTATTTGCATGATAAAAATTAGGTCAACTACTTATAATTTATTACTTCTCCTTTGTGTTCCAGGTAGTTGCCCCTATTAAAATGTTCATGTGGGCAGAGACCATATCTACACATCTTTGTATTACCAGTACAAAACATAAAATTTTATTTATTAAGTGAATTTAAATATGGAGACTGAAAACTCTTGGAGTGGAAATCTATATTCCTAGACTTTTTTGTGTGTTTCTAATATCATCTGGTATTGCACTCATACATACTAGGTACTTTATAGGTTTGTAAATTTGATTAGACATCCACAGGGTTATACTATTTCTGGAGTATGCTGGAGATAACTTTAGCACAGACTAGGAGTATGTCCTCATAAATCTTCTCTTTTTTTCTCACTTCTTGCTAACCTGAGCACATTTCTCACTGACAGTTTGGGTCAGTCTTAAGGCCTAAAGAATGCTTTAAAAAATTCCAGGTGTTAAATCAAGAGTTAGATGCATGTGTGTGCTTTACTTCAGTCATGTGTATGTGACTAAAACAGTTCTATCTTGCAGGATTTAAACTTTTTCATTACTTGGTCCCTGTTAGGAAGTCTAAAATAAAAATTAATAAAGATAGGTGATATTTCAGTTGATCGGTACATTGATTTAGCAGTTCACTTACTAAACTGTACTGAATTTGTGGTTTTGTTCCAATTAGTGTTATTTCTTTGGGGTTTCTAGCTAGGATTTTCATTCTTGTTTTATAACCTTTTATGATTTAAATGGCCCTACTTGATTTTCCTTTTTAAAACTTTGAAAAATTTACATTAGCAGATGTTTAAATGAATAAAGGGTAAAACTTTCCATATTATTTTTTTACAGTGTAGTAATGTGAATAGCTTTATAAACTACCTGTCTTCGAGAGGAAATCACAGCTGTCTGTGAACGCTTGCTTTTTAACTTGGAATCTTGAATCTTTTTTGTAAGATTAGGTTCATTTTCTTCAATGTTTTGTGGATTAAGGATGCCACAGACACTTGAATGTACATACACATATCACTATATGTCAGTTAACAACCCAGAAGTTAGATTCTGAACGCTGTGAAAGTAGGCTCTATGAAAAATGGTTGAAGGCCCCTAAACAGAGTATTCAGAGTAAATCTTTTTCCTCCTCACCACACAACCCTGTGCTCACCAACATTCCTTGTTGCTACTCTTTGCAAAATGCTTATTGGTAAATGTTCCTTTGCTGGGCTTTATTCATTGACCTTTCTCTTCAGTTTTACTCTCTTTGTTCTAAAGAAGCCATGGAATCTCTCATATGGGTTTGTTTCTTTTTTATTTTACTTTTTCACTTTTAACATTAGAGGAAGATTACCTACGCACTGTCGACATTTTGGGTTGAATAATTCTCTGTTACTGTGCATTGTAAGATGTTTAGCAGCATTCCCTGTCTCTAGCCACTAGATTCCAGTAGCACTTTTTTGTCTCTAGTCACGGTAACCCACAATACCCTCAGACATATCAAATGTTCCCAAGGGAAGGAGGTATAATATTGCCCCCTGGTTGAGAACCCCTGAGGACACCTTTCCAGAAGGTGGAAGAAACAATGACCTTGGAGTAGCACTTACCAATTGTGGGACTTACTTAAGTTGTTTGACTTCACTGACACTTCATTTCTTAGGTGCAAAGTAAGGATAATAACATTAATATTTGAGGGTTTAGATTTTAGTAGAAACTGCCAGGCATTTGGTAAGGTCCCGATACCTGGTAGACATGGTCATTCCTATTTGGTGAGTTACAGCTGAATTTCCCAATGCCAGTGATTCCAATTTCACAAAAAGGTGTTTCTCTTTCTCTCTCACCCTGCAAACAGAACATGATGAATGTGGCAGCGGGCAGCACAACTGTGATGAAAATGCCATCTGCACCAACACCGTCCAGGGTCACAGCTGCACCTGTAAACCGGGCTACGTGGGGAACGGGACCATCTGCAGAGGTAGGCTTGCCGCCTCAGGGGTGAGCTGTGAGCTGCCGCCCTGCCTGGGCTCAGGGTATTCAGGTGGCAGACCCTCTTGGCCACACAGGTGGCTGAACACGGACAGGGTTCCTGTTGCTGGTTTATCAACAGGCAAGGGCACTGTGCATCAGAGAAAGAGAAAAATCCTTTGGTTTAGCTTTTTTGTTGGAAAAGAAAAAGGTGAGGGTGTGGTAAGGGCCATGGTCCCACAACTTGATGGTTCTGTTCAGCTTTGCCTTTTGGCCCGAGTTTATGAGGGAAGCTCTGATTGTGATGGGGGTTGTTCTTTCCTGGGAACTTTGCTCAGATAGCAGATGGACACTTTGCCTGACAATACTCAAGGTGTCTGCCTGGGGAGGAAACTTAAAGTTTTAGTCCATTTCTGTGTTTGGAGCAGTTTTGCAATTCAGAGGACAGTGCTCTGGCTTCCTCTGCATTTAGAATAATATTAAAAATTCTCCTTCTGGCTTATGAGGGCATTCAGGATCTGGTTCCTGGCTTCTGATGGCTGGCTTATCTCTTTCCTTTCACCCTCAATCCTTCTGCCTCAACATGTTGGGTCCCTCTTATTCCTTGAGCATTGCTGTCCCCTCAGCCTCAATGCTTATTTCTCTTATGTCACTACACAAATGCTGCCTCATCACAGAAATGTTCTTTGACCCTCCCCTATCTAAAATAGCACCTTTGGGACTAAACCAAACCCTGCTTGTTTTTTTTTCTTCTCAGAAGCACAACCTGACAGGACATCACACATTTATGTGTTTGCCTCTACCTTATCTGTCTTCCCTCTAAGATGTGAGCCCCATGATAGTGACCACTTGATCTTGTTTCCCTACTCTGCCCCGGCAAATAGAATGGTGCCTGGCACACAGTAGATGTTTTTTAAACTATGTGTTAACTGATCAATTCAAAGAGGAAAGAGATACAAACACAACGAAGAAGCAGCAACATGGAAAAAATCAAGAGTTATCCCATGTAGTAGGTATCATTATCATGCTCATTTTATTTTTTTGTTTTTCTTTTTTGAGTTGGAATTTCACTCCATCTCCCAGGCTGGAGTGCAGTGGCATGTTCACGGCCACCCCAGTGTCGACATGCTGAGCTCTGGTGATCCTTCCACCTCAGCCTTCCAAGTAGCCGGAACCACAGGCATGCACTACCACGCCTGGCTAATTTTTGATTTATGGTAGAGACCAGGTCTCACCAAGTTATCCGGGCTGGTCTCCAGCCCACGGTCTCAGGCAAACCCCTCGCCTCAGCCTCCCAAAGTGTTGGGATTACAGACCTGAGTCACCGCGCCTGGCCAATCATCCTCATTTTAGAGGTGATAAGATTGAGACAAAGAGAGGTTAAGTAACAGCCCCAAACCATCATTAGTACATTATCAGTATGCCTCTGCAGGCTGACATGCTGGTAATGAGACAGAAATAATTTACCACGACTAAGGTGCCTTGTGTATCCATTAGATTGGGGAAGAATTGCAAAAGGTTGATTTTATTCCATGTTGGTGCTGGTGGGGTGACCAGCCTCATACGCAGTTGTGAGTACAAATTAGTAAAACTCTTTTTGAACAGCAACTTTGCAAACTGTGTCAACATTCAAAGGAGGTATTCTCTTGATTCCATCACCTTTATCTCTTTACATGTATGGTTAAAAATCATAAGCTAACAAGGAGGGGAATAATGTGCATATAGTATTCTTTTGGCAGCATTCTTTGTATTCTCTGCAAACTGGAACCAACAAAAATATCCACCAGTAATGAAGTGATTAAAATTATTTTGGCATGTTCATTTTATAGGGTAAAATGAAGTGGTTTTAAACTCTAAGCATGTGTGTGCACAAACATTTGCACATATACAAATGCACGTGCAAACACATACACACCCATGAACACTGAAAGATCTCCAAGGCATATTTTTAAGAAAAAAAGAGAAATAAATAAAATCAAGTTATAGAATGATACAAGATACAGTATCATCAAATATCTAAGTTAATATTAAAAAATATCTATATACATATTTATATAAATGTATAAAGACTGGAAACATGCAAATTAGTCACCTTATTACTCATGTCTGTGTGAAAATAAGAACATTCACTTATTGCTATAGATTCTATATTATTTGCATTTCTTCCGGTGGGAATTTCTACATGAATATTTGTGTGGTTTTTTTAAAGTTCCATGAGGCAAATAAAATAGTGCTCAGCTTTCTTTTTTTTTTTTAAGGCTGAAGATATTTCCAAAGCAAAACAAACAAACAAGCAAAAACATTAATATGGTTCCATGGATTATCAAGCCCTCTGCAGGCACCTGCAAGATAATGCTGTTAATCTGAGGAACAACAAGGGACTTTGATTTTAATGCATTTTTTTTCAGAATTATGTTACCTCATAAAATAATATTAATTGCCCTTGTCCAGTGAGTTTGTGTTTGCCAAATCCTCTCGTGCCATTGTGATAAGTGGTGGCTTCAGCTTTGTGGAATTTTGAAAGTCCAGCTGTGCACAAACATGGGTTTACATAATGTTCCTGGTGTCCACAAACTCTGAGGGGAAACATATCTTCCCTGGAAAGTTATGAATTAGGGAAAATCATTTTCTTAAAGTGATTATCATGATGAATTGTGCTGTCCTCAATAAGATAGGGAGAGTCCTGCGTTTTATAAATGTTGCATGGGAAGGCAATGTGGTGTAGTCAATGAATTGAACCAAAAGCTTGGAAAGCTAGGGTTTAGACCTGTTTTCATTACTGATGAGTTGTAACATATGTTTTTACATATCAAAGTTTGGTTAGCATCATTTTTCTTGTTTATCCAACAATGTGATTGCATATGATTATTAAGGGAATACTATAGATCAATGTGTTTTAAACTGTAAAATGCTATGCAAAGTAAAGACAATATTGTTAGTGTTATAACAAAGAGGAAAAAAGAGGACAAGGAAAAGGAGGAGTAGGTTCATGGCATGGCCTGAACCTCAGCCTTCTGCCCAAGGTACCCAAATTTGTGTTTCAGGCATACGTTTTAAAGTTAATTTCATCATCTGTAACTGAAATGTTTATAGTGGGAGTTAGGCAAGGATAACCAGACGACTTGTGCTAAATTTTTAAGTGTTAAATATATAAAAGCTTTTCTAGACATGGTATGTTGTTTATAAATTTGACTAAATCTGGGTAGCAATAAACCATTAACACTTCTATTAATAAGCATTACACAAGGCAACCATTTCTAAAACAGTCCTAATTGTATAAAATCTCTTAGATGGGCTTTCCTGGTTCCCATTTAAGGAGTTTTTTTTCTTCTGGTGGATGGAAAATGTCTGTTTGGCTTCAACAACTGTCACCAAGTATGTGCAAGACACTTTGTTGGGTGTGTTCACATATGTTATCTTGTTTTGTTCCCACCATAAGCTTCAGAGGTTGATGACATTATTCTCTTTCACAAGTACATTTTGAATAAGACATAGTTGAATATGATTTTATCCAACTAGTGCAACTGCTGTTAGGTTCTTTGCTCTCTTTCCCATTCTCTCTTCCATTTCCTTCTACCCCCCCCCTTTACCATCCTTTCCTCTTCTTCCTTGGCTGTTTATTATTTAATATTCTCTGTCTCTGTCTCTGTCTCTGTCTCTCTCTCTCTCTCTCTCTCTCTCTGTATTCTAACTAGAAACTGAAAAGAACACAGAAAGAAAAGAGAAAGTACAATGGTAATTTATAATTTTTAAAAAATTCTTCACATATTTAATGAACAGACAAAAGTACTTTTGAAACTATGCAACATGTGTAGATAAACATTTTGGCATTTGAACTTAAATGGACAGAATTCTTGCACATGGTTTCAAGTCAGATTTGTATACCCTGACTTGAGGGTTATCTGCAGAAGTGTGTTTATCTGCTTTCCCAGTCCTGCATTAACGCTGGAACAGAAAGCAGGCTTTAAAGAGGCAGTTGTCAATATGTAGCTGATAGACTAAACCTTCTTTCTTATCTGTCATTAGCACTGGATAAGATGTGATGATCCTTGAAAGTATTCTTGTCTTAATGACTGATAATATTGACATTTATTTATAAGCATACAGTGAGTGTGAATTCTGTTTCTGGAACATACTTCCAAACACCAACAGAGCAAAAAGAAAGTAAGATATGGCCGCTGAGCATTTCACTATTTAGTGTTGGAAAAAGACTTGAACAAATGCTTCTGACCCAATAGGACATCTACAAAATGGTGTTATCTCATGTGAAAACAGCTCATAAGGAATTACTCAAAATATAGAGGTGTGTGAAAATTGTATGCATTAGTTAGAATTCCTTTGGTTGCAAGTAATAGAAATCTGCCGACAAAACTAGCTATATAATATGTAGAACGCAGAGAAAAAGGTAAGCGTGGACTCCTTACAACAAAAACAAGAAAATCCTGCGGTTTAAAGATACAAACATATAAAGCTTTAACTTTTTTCCCATTAGCCTCTTTGTTCTTCTGTCATGGTGCTCTCTACTTGCTATTTAATACTGCTCCCTTGAGCATGGGAATACTTACAGGCTGAATGCTGACCCACATAAGAGTTTCAGGTTCATCTTGTTAACTTGGCACACTCACTTGACCCACTAACTTTGGTGGTTTTTCACTCTCCTGACCAATGCACCCATGACTTGGTCTGTGGCAGGTCAGTTGAGTCAAATATGTCCCCTTCTCTTGAGAGATGTACAAACCCACTTTCATGTCAACTGACTTTCAAATGAAATTATTACAATAAAATTAAGTTCACTGAAGAAATTCCAGAAGCATCGAATATCTAAGTGAATATTTATAAATATTTATAGATATCTATATATTAAAAAGATATATCTATATCTTTATTCTAAAGCACTTGAGAATCCTGTGGTTTTCTGAAGTCGTTCATTATGAGCATGTTTGCCTGGAGTGCATGTGCAGAAAAGGTAATGCCTAGAAATTTCTGTTTTATGAGATGCTGGATAAATTGTACAAGGGAAACACAGAGAGCCAGAAACAGAAGGCCAGAGAAGGTTTGATATAGAAAGAAAGATTAATGTGACAGTTCATGCTAAAGATGTAAACAAAATCCTGAATTAAATAAGTAAACTAGACATCGCACATGTACAAAGATGTTTTTCAGAGGCTCACGGGCAGTGTGAGAGGAAGGAAGATGAAAAGGGAGAATCGAAAGGTAAGTTGTCATAGTAAAGTATCACTGAAGATAATAAAATTTATAAACTACTGGGCTGTGAATCAGTGAAGATGAAATTTGGGAATTTTGAAGCAAATAGAAAGGGAAATGGGAAACCTTTGGCAAAA